GCCCCTTATTCCGCAATCTTTGGGCGTCCATAGGATGGATCTCTCATCCCTTCATAATTCAGTTTAGCTACTTTAGCTTTTAATAAACAACCTATAAAATTTAATGTCTCACAGTAGCTGACCAAGTTAACTGAATTGCATTATTGAAAAATGAAATTTACATCTGAATTGAATGATACTTATAAAAAAAAAGTCTAAATTGAGACAGCTGCAAAATACAACCAAAATTTTTTTCGTAATGGTGTAGCATATTTGCATTAAAGTTTCTAAAATGTTAGCTCCAAGCCTGTAATATATTAAGCTGAAATCACAAAGGATTTGGAAAATATAAAATGAAAAAAAAAAAAAACTTTCTAAGAAATTATTACCCAATCCTAGCCGGATGCTTCTTGAAGTATGCCTCGCATATACTGCAAGAAAAATAAAAGTGGACCACAAGTAAATAGACTACAAATAGTCAAATACCAATATTTTATTGGTTAAACACTAGCAAATAGCGCCATACAATATTTGTTAGAGCACTTAACCAATGTTAAATTTGTCGTAATGGCTTAATGGCAACAAGTATGAATGGAAAAGTGTCTCAAAGACCAAAAACAAATCAGAACTATAGTAGATCAAGTGATGTACAAAAAATATTACACCATAAGGCAAAGACAAACCCATTTTTTCTGTTTATATTGTCCCAACAGTCCCATAAGAATAGGCATATAAAAAACCTACTGCATTAAGACATTCATTCACTTGCTTACCAATAAAAAAATGCATTCCTCTTTTGGGAATTAAGACATCAAGATGTGGAAGAATAAATGGAAAGAGATAGCAATGGCACAAGGGTTATTTATGCAGGTTGTTTAATGAAATTCTAGTGGTTATTTATCAAAAAAAAATTGTAATCCTGTCCCACCTAGGATAAAGGCCTTCTGTTGGGAAGTATTTCTTGGAAAAATCAACACCTGTGACATGCTCCAAAAAATAAGGCCTAATAAATGCCTTTCTCCTTATGTATGCATTCTTTGCAAAGCAAGCAGTGAGACCATTCCCCATTTACTTATCTCCTATTATTTTGTGGATTGTGTTTGGATATGTTTTTCTTCTCTCTTTGGTTGCAGATGGAACCCTGCTTAAGATGTGGCTAGCCTTTTTGTCCCAAATTCCAAAGACAACCTAAGAAGAGAGAAGGAATCATGTGGTGGGCAGCTAGAGCAGCTATAATATGGACTATTTTGGGAGGAAAGAAATGAGAGGATCTTCAAGAAGTACTACACCAAAGAGGATATAGTGAAGGTTGCCCATAGGGTGAAAACAATGACGGCCTTCAAAGTATTCTCAGTGGAGAGACACTATGGTGTGTTCAGGAATGTGACATGGTGCTAGCATTGTACTCAGGTGCAATTGGTCATGGAGACTCTATAAAGGCTGAAGAAATGGCATTACTACGAGGGCTTGAAGATAGCTAAACAACTCGGTTTTCAACAGGTGAGCAGTAACAGTTCAGGTGCTTGGATCTATAGGCAAAATCTAAGGGAGATTGGCAGTCAAGTTAAAGAACTGGGAGCAACTTTCAGATTGATCAAGAGATCCACATATGGGTTGGCTGATTCATTGGCCAAGCAAGCGGTTGGGAATGATTTCCCTGTAATGCATTGAATATTAACTTAATTGAATAAATGAAATTTCTGCTACTGATAAAAAAATAGTAATGGCACAAGCGAGAGATGTAAGATTATTGTGATTAAGCTTTGGGATTTGGGGAAGGCTAGGGAACATTCCTAAGGTTGGTTAATTTTCCCTAGAGATGATTCAAGGCTTATGTAACCAACCCTATCTAGTAAGCTTAAGTATCAACTAAGTGGAAGCTTTCAGACAAGTCTACGGTAATTCTAGGGTAATGGAAATGACCCTAAATTAGGAGAAATAGCTATTAAGGGGTACCGATCAAAAAAAAGAAATAGTTATTAAGGGGGTATTAGGTGTGTTTCAAATGATAGTTAAGGACTTATAGATTAGAGTAATTTATCCCATAGGACCAATCTTCTAAGTCAAGAAAGAACCAAAACTAATTAAGATCAATCAAGAAAAGTCCAAGATTCAGCAAAAAGTGCAGAGTAATTAGATCTGACTACAAGAGACAAGCAAGAAGGTTTAGATCTTACCCAAGAAGAAGAAAGAAGAAAAAAAAACAAAACACCAATTCTTGAATTTGAAAATTTAACTTTATTTTTTTTATCAATAAAAATTTAACTTTATTTCTTTTTTGTCAATAAAAATTTAACTTTATTTCATAAATCAAGTACTCTATATTCAAATAGCCTAGTCTTAAAAACACTTTCCTACTTCTATTACAACTCCAAATATAAAAATAAAAAAGAAAAAAGGACTCAATTGTCATCACTTATCACCAAATTGACCACAACGCTCCCAAAACATGTCAGATTTACAAGATCTTGGTCTCATTGGATAGGTAATTTGCCTATCTAATGACACTAAAATCACTAAAAAGAAGTTTTGGTCCTTGAAATGTAGGCTGAAAGAAAAGTGATGAATTTACATTTTTTTTTTTATCAATAACACTTTCATTAAATCATCAATAGAAGATTTACAAGAGGAAGACAAACACACTTATCTTCCAAGAGCAGCAAAGAACCTCATGAAAAGGAAAAAAAGAAAGAAAAAACACACTATAGCTACAGCTTAGCCCAAAACAGTGAATCCCTTTC